TCTGTCGGGGGCGGAGGGCGAGGGGAGGCAGGTTCAGAAGGGTCTCTGAACGGTGGACCCGACCCAGGGACCTCTGACGGAACAGGACAAGGGACACCGATAAATCACAGGACTAAAACTGGGTCCATTTCTCAGGCGGCGCCGTTGGACACCGCCACGAATGCCTAGTTTTCATTACAAAGAGAGGAAGTACGAGGCTGGTTTGTTTTGCTCTTTCCAGTGTTGAGGGAGGTCATGGTATCCCCGAGACGGGGTCCGCCTCCCCCAGAAAGCCCATGCCTCCTGGTCTTCTGGACCCTACACTCCGGTAGCAGAGTGCAGGGGCCATGGCTTTGAAGCTGCGTCCTACCTGGCCCAGGAACCGTCCTGAGGCCTTGACCTCGTGGGAGCAGAAAGCCGGCAGAGGCTTAGAAACGAGCCCCCGACCGCTGCTGCCCCGCGGATGCCTGCCTGGCCTGGGGGTCAGCCTCACACACCTGGCTCTGTAGTTCATACAAAGAGCATTTGCTTCGGTGGACACATGACTCAGGGAGGACATTTAATTTCAGTGGTTTATGGCACTAGCAGCTGACACTTCGGGCTCCTGCCTGGTCCCTGCAGTCCTTCCTAGAGGCCTAGCCCCCTCCTCAGGCCTATCTGCTTTCGCCGGGGGCAGCGCAGCCCGTGGGAGCCTGGACAACAGTCTTTGAGAAGAGCAAAGGACAAACGCGGCCTTTGGAAAGCGGAGCGAATAACGCGGATCTAGAAGCAGAGGGAAGGGACATCAGACTCCCCCAAGTGCACCGTTCCCCTTGGCTGGGGCACAGACGTGGTGGCCGAGCCCTCCGCTGGCCTTTGCTGGGTGGGAGCGACATGTAAATTGAGGGGCCCTTGGGCTCCGGAGAAACCGGAGCTGTGCGGCTCCCGGCAGCGGCCGCTGAGCCCGACGCTGGGCCCGTGGATTCTGCAAAGCCTGCAGGGTGCTCAGGGACTTGGAAGGCCAGCTGGTCCTCTGGGACCAGTCCCTGAGGCTCAGACCTGAGGGACACCCAGGAGGAGAGTCCCCGCCTGCAAGAGCGGGCTTCCTCTGCGGGGGAAGCAGGGGGCCCTGGGAAAAGCATCTCTTTCACAGGTGAAAGGGAATTTAAAACGCACTTGGGGTTGTGTCTCGAGGGCTGTCAGGCAGAGCCAAGACTCAGCCTCTGCTGTCCACCAGGGAGCCTGGGCGGTGGCAGGGCGAGGTGGCTCCCAGTCCCCCACTCCCCACAGAGGCTCTGGGTCTTCCCCTTTGAAACCTTCTGGACTCGGTGCCTCAGGGCCGTCTACGCAGTTTTCAGACTGTTTGGGACTGGGGGGGACCCCAGGCTCTTTGCACAGGCAACCTTCAAGGTCAGCCTCTCGTCCTTGACGGTGAGGAGACATCGACTCAGGGCACAGGGCCGCTCTTAGCCTGTGTCCAGCTGCCTTATGCTCTGGAGAGAACATTCAGCAAAGCACAGGGGTCGTGGACAGACAGACAGACAGGTCCCCGAGCCTTGGAGGGAGGGGACACTTTTTATTTTCAGCCCTGAGCTTGGTGAGGGGCTGCATTGTCACGGATGTAGGAGAGGCTTGTGGGTAAATTAGAATCTCCTAAATGCTGACCTTCCTGCTTGATGTGCAGCCCCCCCCCTCCGCCCCCAGCAAATACAGACGCTCTGATAATTTTTGGAGACAGAAAAGTGCCACTCGGCGCTCTGGAGAGAGGATGACAAACCAGGGGTCGGAGGGGGCCTCGTTTCTGGGTGCATTTCTGGCCCCCCTAGGGTGCATTAATAAGGAGTCCAGGGTAGGGCCGCGCGTCCAGCCCCAGGGCGTTTGGAGGGAGCAACGGCCAGGCTGGCAGTGCAGCAGGGGACAGCGGCTCTCTGGGCTTGGTCCCCAGCATGGCCTGTGCCTGCCCCGCACCTTGCGAGCGCGCGCCTCCGGGGACTGACACTTGGGCGATTCTGCCTAAGGTACTTCGGCTTAAAAATAATATTTAAGGAGGGGGCGGGGAGAGGAGAGAGAGAGAGAGGAGAGAAATTAGATAATGTCAACATGTCAACAGACAAGAACTCAGAGATTAGGCAGGACTCACGGCGCCGCCAGCGC